TGCTCAAAAATCTGATGCTTATCAGGTTATTTGTCACTTTAAGCCTTATGTTGAAAATTTACTCACTCATACAATCAAAATTCTTAGATCTGATGGCGGTGGAGAATTTATCAGTCATCCTTTGAAGTCTTTTTTTCAACAGTCTGACATTTCTCATCAAAAATCCTGCCCATACATTCCTCAGTAGAATGAAGTGGCTAAGAGAAAACACAGGCATATAGTGCAAACAACTATTACTCTTGTCTAAGGCCTCAGTTCCTACAAAATTCTGGGTTCATGCTTTTCCACAACAGCCTATCTCATTAATAGACTTCCTAGTGCAAATACTTCACGGAGGTCTCCTTTTGAAGTTCTTTTTGGACAAAGGCGTGATTATCATTTTCTATAAGTCTTTGGTTGTTCATGCTTTAGTCTTCTTAAACCATATAATTCTCATAAACTTCAGCCAAAATCTAAGCTTTGTGTCTTCCTTGGATACACTGTTGATTTTAAACGATATTTTTGTTATCATATTCCTACTCAAAAGATGTACATCTCTAGACATGTACTATTTGATGAAACCACTTTTGCTTTTGCAAATACCTCATCCTCTTCTACTTCATCTTCTACACCCTCAGTGTCTGTACACATGTGATTTTCATGCCTCAGTTACAGATCCATCACTGTTCATCAAAAAATGTGGCTCTTCTCTCACGGTCCTACTCTGTATGTGGATGACATCATTCTTACAGGCAGTGATTCATCTTATACACAGACTCTTGTATCTCATCTGCACACTGAGTTTGAAATAAAAGACTTAGGTCCTCTTCATTTCTTTCTAGGTTTGAAAATTAAACACACCTCCACTAGTTTGTTTATTAGTCAAGAAAAATACACAAAAGACCTTCAAAAGACAAACATGGCCACTTGCAAAAGCTGTAAAACTCGTGTTTTTGGTAATAGATTGGGCAAGACTGATGGTACTTTGCTTCCTGATTCTACTATCTATAGAAGTGTGGTGGATGCACTTTAATACTTAATTTTTACAAGACCTGATATCACGTTTGTTGTGAACCATGTTTGCCAATTCATGCACTGGCCCACAGATGTTCATTATGCAGCAGTCAAGGGAATCCTCATATATCTTCAAGGCACTTTGTCCTATGGCCTTACTTATCAAAGGAGTTCTCTATCACTTACAGCCTTTGCAAATGCTGACTGGGCTGGAGATCCAGAGGATAAGAGGTCCACAATTGGATTTGTAGTTTATTTGAGAAACAATCCTTTTCATTGGGGCACAAAGAAACAATCCACAGTATCTATGTCCTCTACTGAAGCAGAGTACAAGTCCATGGCTTCCACTGCTGCTGAGTTATCCTAGCTACAAATTTTACTATGTGACCTACATATATTTCTTCCTATAGCGCCAAAGCTCTGGTGTGACAATGTCTTAGCAATGGCCTTGACTTCAAATCCTGTGTTTCATGCTCGCTCAAAGTATATTGCTATTGATTTTCATTACTTTCGAGAAAAGGTGGTTTGTAAGGATTTATTAGTCCATTATGTTTCAACACAAGATCAAGTAGCCGATGTCTTCACCAAAGGCTTAACTACTGCCAATTTCATTAAGTTTTGAGACAAACTAATGATTCATGCTTCCTCATTAGTTTGATGGAGGCTCATAACACATGTAGTAGTTTTACTAGTTAAATGAGCAATTAGATAGTTTGTTAGGCAGTTAATTAAGTTCAGTTAGTTACAGGTAAGGAATGTTGAGCTAGTACTCAGCTACATTGGTGTATGATGAGATCTAATTGTTCTATAAGTACACTTACAATCTGTACAAATGAAAGAAAGTGAAATGAATTCCAAAAACCTTTTCTGATCATGATTCTTCTGTTTTTCATTTCTTCTTGTGAGTTCTTGAGTCTCTGTACAGATTTTTTCATGTTAATTCTTATGATTTTTTATTCGACTATTAATGCCCCAATTGAAGATTATAGTTCAATTATTGAAGGAAACCGTGAGATATACAAATAAGATCATTTCAAATGGCAGTTTCAATGCCTATGCATAGGGCGGAGCCAAAAAATTATTCTTGAATGGGCATTTCAAAGCCGCTTTATCCATCTATTTTTCGGCACAAAAAACCATTATTATCTAATAGCAATATTTTTGGGTATTTCAATTTGGCTTTGTTTCCCGATCAAAAAAAAAAATTGGCTTTGTTTGTAGATAATACAGTCAAACAGTGTCGTCTTATTGTCTTCTTCTATCACACAAATTTTGTACCAACAACAATTACCAAAAAAAAAGGGTACCAAAAATTGCATGAGTGAGGAAATTCAGCCGTATAAAAAATACCACGTCCTCTTGGAACAGACATCTAATATTTGTTGTGGTTGAAGTGTTTTAGATGGTTGACAAATTCTCATTCATTCTTTCGTGGGTTGAGTCTTTTTAGCCGTGATGTATATGCTTAGATTTATTGGCCATTTGGACTCTCCTGTGATCTGTTTTTGATATTGGATGATTGTCAAAAAGTGTACGACTTTGGTCATATTCATTAAAAAAAAGATCAAATTCTTGCATTGGTGGGGTAAACTTATCCCCATTCACTCCTTCAAATGTTACGGTCTTTTTGAGAAGGTGTGTAAACTTGAGTTTATTGACATTTTGGACTCATGTGATCCGTTAATTTTCTTTTGGTAAACGAGAAAAAACTCTGACTTGTCATCAGTGAATAGAGGCGTGTTTATGTCACTCATGTTCGTGAGTCTAGGTAGAACCAAGGACAAACTTCGGATGTATAAATCAATTTTTTAACTGATATACCAATTAAATTAGAATTTACAAGATCTGTTGTTGATATTGTATAATCATAAAAAATTGTATTGTGATCTTGTGCATGTTCTTTAAAAAAGAAAAGCCCTCGGATATCTATAATGACATAAGACTTGTTTTCCTCTACGTGCCATGAAAATGAAATCAACCCATAATCACCAAACAATCCATAAATAAAGTCAACCAAGAAACAAATATAATATATCCACGTACACATCTATAATGTGAGACACTCATCTTTTGTTTGAAACCCCAATGGGACCGCAGGTTATTTTCAATTCCTACTCTCTCGAGTTTTTTTTTTTTTTTTTTTAAACTTCCAAAATTTCAAAAAAAATTCGTGTGATTTTCATCTAAAAACTCGAAAGGCCCCAAGACCCCCACCTAACCCCGACTCCTATGCCAAAGCAGTTAAGTGCATGAATGTCGGAGCAGAGAAATTTCCCGAATAGCAACCTAGTTAGAAGAGAAGTCATGCACGTTTGGTTTCTAAAGTAATAATCGTATATCTATTCACATGAAGAAATTTTTTTTTTTGGTTCTATCAATTTACTTAAGGTGGGTTCGATCATATATTAATGTAGTACACACTCTAATATAGTAGGTTTTACTTAAATTTATAGTGTCAACTATCAGTAAAAAAAAATTGAGTATAATATTAGGTAAAATATGTTCAAAATTTATATATATCTCCTTGTGTATGTAAACAAAAAGAATAAAATTGAGTAAAAGTGTAAGTAATCGATAAGATTAAAATCAAGCTAAAGGTTCCGCCACTGGTTTTGTCCTAAAAAGCCACAAAAGTAGTCTCTCTTCCTCTCACATGACTAGTCTATTTGTACCTCATGAATTAAAAATACACTTTAATACATGATAGGTGATTCGTTAAAAAAAATTTAAAAATATATATATATATATTGAAAGAGGTTTCAAGTGTATTAACTATTAAACTTGGAACCCGCAAAATTTCATTGATGATTATTTGGTACACGTTTCCACTACAATTGCAATGAATATTAGGGTACACGTCTAGTTCTTTGGCCTATGGAGTTTTTCTACTTGGATTTATTACACCCACGTTGCACGTTGAACTCCACAATTAGGACGACCAATTGATTATTTCGTATCAAGTTGATGTTGTGTCTACTGTATAAAAGTTTTTCAAATGCTTAGTTATAATTATCCGAATTCATGTGGTCTATAATTATTTAATAATAACTCGTACCTAACATGTTTATATCAAACATGTTTAATCATTGACTATCCAAACCCATAAACATTATACATAAACTCACTAATTCTACATTGATTTTGCGCCGAATTTACAAGTCATGAGCACAATTTTCTCACCTAAGTTCCATTGCATGAATCAAAATTTAAGAGCAATGCTATAGATACTTAATTTGAAAATCTAATTGAATATAATTTCTTAGATTAATTGTAAGTTCTAATGTTAAGATGAAACACATTTTCAAGTCAATTCACAATCCGCATTAGGTCACCTCTCTCAAGTAAATTCACGATCCCCACATCCCCAAATAAAAAAAAAATCCTCTCAATCCATATTCTAGTAAAATTTAATACGATTTTTTTTTTAATTCTCTAAGTACTAGTGAAATAAAATATCAAAAAATTTGAAACACCTGTTAAATAGATTTGTAGTTTCAAAATCGAATTTTTTTATCAGTAATGATATTTGAACTTAAAAATTTGGCATAATTTACTAATCTAATGTAGCTTCATTGAAATCATTGGATAAACATCAAATTTTAATATTTTATAAGATCTACAATCAATCCAAAAATCATAGTGAATTAGGTCAATTAATTAGGTCACAATAACATTGCTTTTCTTTTATATATTTGATACTAACGAAACCTGTTTAGTATTCATGTTAATAAGTTTTGTTAATTTATTGTATTGAGTATTCACTTGCACCACGCCTCTTTACAGCTACCTTTCAACAAAGAGTGTTGTGCCTAATCTTCAGAAGCTACCTCAGAAAGAAGACGAAGGTTTGTTGCCTGCCTGCACTCTCCAACAACAAAAATAAGAAGCGAAAGATGTCAAACCTTGGACATTCTCGAAAACAAGTTATTTCTGGAGTCCTAACGTTAATTCCTCGTTACTTTTCGAAAAAAGAAAAAAAAAACATTAATTCCTCAGAAATTATGTTCATGGCACCAGAACTACCACCATTAACGACGACTAACCATCAGCAAGCTCGAGAAGTTTTCATGGTTATGCTCAGAAGCTTCTCCATTAATGGATTACTTCCAGTGCTGGTGCGAGTCATTCTTCTGTTGCTTCTGTTCAAGTTCAACATAACTGTGTCGTCACAGTCCATCATCAAGACTCTTCCTGGCTTTTCCGGTGATTTACCAGTTAAAATGGAAACTGGGTAAGGCTTTAATCTCTGTTCTTTCTCATAATTTTCTCTCATTTTTATATATCTTGGCATGGAGTGGTTGATGCAAATGAATCGACTCGAGCCAGAATGTTTTTTCCTGTTTCGTTCGTTTGCAAATTGTTCGGGATCATGACAAGCTTCAATGCAAGTTTGGGCCAGTAATTTTTTCGCCAATCGAACTCAAAGTCGAGTTCAAGATGAAGTCTGCTCATATTTATACGTGTTGGTATCCTCTACCGCTAGTTCGAATGATAATAGAGACGAACTGATGTCTTAAATTTAAATTTTGACATCTCTTGAGATCAAGTTATGAGAAATTTATCTATTATAAATATTTCAACGTAAATGACATTCTGATTGATCGGGCCAATAACGAGATCATTACAAGAATTAGAGTCTTTTGAACAAATTTTTGCAACGTACCGTTGACTCGTTGTCATCATGAATTTTTTTTGAAACTTTGTGATCATTGTAGCGGCATTGGCCAATATAATAAAGAGTTTAAAAAAAGTCTTTATCGTGGTAACGAGTCGTCTAAAATAATAATAATTCTTTTGTGACAATACTATAGCCACAAAAAAAAATCTTCAAAAACATGCTTTTTGTAATGGTGAACACAGTTGTCCCATAATTATTGTAATGAATTAATCAAAATGTGTGTAAGTTAATATGAACACTTTTAATCGTTGAATCAAAAAAATATATGTGTGCGCTTGTGTATGTGTTGGTTCGGTATAAAACAATTGAGTTCGAGTTGGTTCGCTGGATAAATGAATGGATTGATGTCCCAGCTCGTCCTTATTGGTTTATGAACAACTAAGTTTATTTGCGACTCGAGTTGCATGTATTATCTTATAGTAGAAACAAGCTAATTACAACTCCACAATTTTCTTTTTTTTCTTTTTTTTTTTAATTGGATTGAAGGTACGTTGGTGTTGGAGAAAGAGATGACGTGCAGTTATTCTACTACTTCATTGAATCCGAAAGAAATCCTAAAGATGATCCTCTCATGCTTTGGCTGGCAGGTGGCCCTGGTTGTTCTGCTCTTCGTGCCTTCTTCTATGAAATTGGTATGCATTTTTTTATGACTATTTTATTGTAGAATGCACTGTATTTTATGAGTAAATATTGGCTGTTCTTGTAATCTACTTCGATACATCGGATAGTTATTGTATGACATGAATGAATTATTATTTAATTATGTGAGCTTTGTTTGACCGTTTGTTATTTTATTATTGGACAGTTATATCATGTTAACGTGACGATATGATGTAATCGTGACACATAATATTTACCCGTATTTTGTGAACTATTATAATATTTACAGTAATTGTACAATAGACTGAGCCTGTTCAGGTCCGGGTTGGGTTGGCCCGCAAGCTACCCATTGGGTCTAAATTTTATCAGTTTTGAGTTATTAACTATTTATTTTTTAAAAATTTTACCGGGTAAGTGAGTCAGGCTACAGCCTTACAGCTGCTTTCTGGGCCTTGATTGAGTCAATCTCCCAAACATAGTAAGTCAAAAGCCATGGCCTCGACTCTACCCATTAGCTTAACAGGTGCAATAAGTCAATAGGTTGGGTATAACTTGAGCAGGTAACTTGAATTTGGCCCAAAAAAATTAGTATTTGAGTTGAATTTTTTGAAACTTGGGTTGAATTTGGACAAATAATTCTCAACCCGAATTTAATTTAGATTGGATTCAAGTTAAAATTTCGGGTTCACGGGTTTAAACCAAACCCAAATCAAGTTCAACCCAAGTTCTTATTTAAGCATTAAAAAATAATATATATTATTTAAACATTTTATATATATATATATATATATATAATGACTACACAATAAAATTATGTGTTACTCACACTCATCAAGAACTTTTTATAACAATAGAGGGAGTGCAAGCTTCTTTGTTGAACCGATGTGAGATATTGAATAAAAGAACAAAAGAAGCTATCTAAGTTAGAATCTTACATCGGTTGTAATAAAAAAAGTCTCTCCCTCCACTTGTATACAAAGAATTCAAACTCCATTAGGCTTGCGTCTTTAATGGGCTTGATTTTCATTGGGCTTATGTGAGTTAAATAAAAAAAATTGAGTTAAATAAAAAAATTTAAAAGTTATTCACATTTAACATGTATTTAACCAAAAGATTGAGCCCGATTTAATAATTTGGGCTCAACCCGAGCCCTAAGTCTCTCATTCGATTGCTTTAGTCCTAAGTTGAAAATGTTAAGAAATCTCAGTGTAAGCAAACCAAGAAATCTCTGAGATGTATTGTCTTAGCAGAAGCCTTAAAAAAGGTTATCTTGCTGATTACAAATTGCTTGATGTTTTTACTTGTATTTGCAGGTCCATTTTCATTTAACTATTCAAATTCCATTGGAGACAAACCACAATTGGAACAGAACCCATACTCTTGGACAAAGGTCTATTTTTTTACCCCGTTTTTGTTATAAAAATACATGCAATCAAAGGCCCCCAAAAAAAAAAAAAAACCTTTCTAATTTGTCCAGAAATGAAGAGAATTTTTAACTTAATTTATAGGTTGCCAACATCATTTTCATAGATCAACCTGTTGGGACCGGATTTTCCTATGCAAATACTCCAGAAGCTTACATCAGTAGCGATACAATTTCTGCAACACAAGCTTATGATTTTCTTAGAAAGGTGAGAGAAAGTTATTTGATGAATGAAAGCACCATTATATGCTTTTTTTTTTTTTTTTTATTGTATTTGATCTTACACCAAGAAAGTTTATTTTTGTCAGCAATGTTAATGAAATTATTTCTGGCACATACAACTTTAGTTTTGATTATTTACTATAAAGAAACCTAGTAAAAAAAATTGTTTAATTTTTTTCATTGTGATGCAGTGGCTTGTGGATCACTCCAAGTTTCTCACAAACCCACTCTATATTAGTGGTATTTCCTATGTAGGCATGGTTGTTCCAATAATAGTTCAGGAGATATACAATGGTACTTATGATCTTGGATATCCCTTTAAGTTTAAGAGAAAAACACATAGCATGCACATTTACTTTGGTGGTCGAACAAGGGACGAGTCATTAATCCGCCCGCAATGAATTTTAGTTTGGGTATCTATTGGATACACGTGCTTTTCTGGTGAATACGTGTATTTGAAGTTTTCTTTAATATGAAGAATTCAAAGAATGCGTGGTTGAAACTATTCCCTGTTACCCCCCAAAAAAAATACAATTTTTAACTATATAATAGGTTTTGAATTAAACCAAGTTCTTCATTGAACAAGGCTCATATAGCTTTGATTTTCATTTCTGTTTTTTTGTGCAGGTAATGAAGCTGGAAATGAGCCACAACTGAATATTAAAGTACATAATATCTCATTGAAAATTAATTACCCCTTTTTTGGATTTTGAAATAGTATAAGGATTTGATTTTTGGATTGGATCAGGGATACATACTCTCCAATCCTCTAACCGATAAAAATGGAGATGTCAATTCAAGAGTCGAATATGCTCATCGAGTGGCACTTCTCTCAGATGAACTTTATGAGGTAACTTTTTTAACTTGCATGAATAGTCTATTCGTATGGGATTGGTTTTGGAACAATTCGTAAACTTAGAAATTTTGAGTTCGACTCTTGATAACTTCCAACTTCAACAAATACACCCAATTAGTGGGTCATTGTTAGCATCCGGTATTGACTCTACAAGAATGAGTTTGATATAATCTCGTTAAAAGCTTCAGTTGCACGCCCAACAAAAAAAAAAAAAAAAAGGCTTCATATAGTTGACTTGAAAGTTTTGAGTCTTCTAGAGTTCCCCAAACTACCCAAATCAAGCGCATCTAAGTCACTGATCTTCAACCACCCTACGTTTGCTTCTTCTTGCTTAGAACTGAAAATGTTTTCAATGGCAATGTGAATTAGTCAAAAACTTTAATTTGTTTTTGTGGGGAAAATAAAAGATTTCTTTCGTGTGGGCCGACTCATTAACATAGTAACTATATATATTTTAGAAATTTATACATAACTCTTGTGATATTTGGCTAAATTAAAAACGTTGTTGATTTCATTAAAATAAATGTCGAAAGTGAATATATTTAGTAAAATAACATTGTAAATTAACTTTTATACTCTTATACCTATTCCCTTGGCGTTAATAGGTTGAATTCGTATACAATTCTTAGGAATAATAGTACTAAAATTTTTTGAAATTTTTTAGGTATTATGTAATTTTTATACTAAATAATTGACCATGTTAGTTGTTGCGTTATAGTCCAAAAACTATAGAAATTATATATAGTTTTACAAAATATAAAGAAATAAAGGTTTATTTAAAACCATCGTCACATTGACACTTAGCGACAATGATAGAATCGCGATTCTCACATGCATTTAGATACGACTTGTCACTTATTTATGCTACATTGAAGAATCAACGAAAAGTATTCTATGCATTCTCATGCTTGTCGTTGTAGACTACAAATTTAATAATTTAAGATAAAATTATCCTTAAGTTAGGGCTTTTTTTTCTTCTTCTTTTTTTTTTTTTTGCAAAGATATGATTGTAAGATATGTAATGTTTTGTTGATTTTTCAGTCCACCAAAGCAAATTGCCAAGGCAAGTACATAGATGTAGATCCTAAAAATTTATTATGTCTAAGAGATCTACAAGAAGTAGACAAGGTAAGCAAGATTTCTACCTTATTTTTCAAGATCTTATCGAATTTTATATATTTGGGCATTAAGATAATCTATTGTTTTTTTATATAGTGCACCGAGAAAATAAATGGACAACAAATTTTAGAACCTTTGTGTTCGACAACGAACACAAAATCAAATTTCCTGAGATGGAACAAAAGCTCTCTTGAAGAGGATATTATGGATTTCCTTTGGTCGCTACCTCTGCGTCTGAAAACATGGTGTCGAGTAATCTTTTTTTCTCGTAGCATATTTTTTTAAAAAAAAATTTATTGTGAAAGGTATGATTGTTCATCTTCAAAGCTACAAAACTATTTTAACTAACATTCCTACCTTTTTACTTTGTTTTTGTTTTTGTAGAGCTATATATATAATTATGCCACCAATTGGGCAACTAGCAGAGCTGTCCAAGAAGCTCTTCACGTTCGAGAGGTAAATTTTTATTCAATGTAGCGTCAATATCGACATGATTCAAATCTTCTCTAACTCACTTTTTGATCGCATTTTTTGTTAAACGTTAGATCAACGACCGAGTAGCGGGATCCACATATTAGGTCTCATTTGAATTTATGAGTGTCGATCAGATACTTGATCAATCATTGAGAGGAAATGAAAAAATGTGTGTGGGAGAGGCTCTAAATCCCAACCTACAAATGGCTAATTGATATTTTCTTTTCTTTTAACAGGGAATAAAAACAGAATGGGTGCAATGCAATAACAGCATAGAATACTCATTTGGTAAAACTTCAACGGTGGCGTATACTTTCAATGTCCCTAGCACTGTTGGCTATCATCGAAATCTAACAAGCAAAAATTGTCGAGCTTTAATAATGAGGTAACATTGTCCCAATTCTGTCTATCAAAAATAATAATAATATTTATGTCGTGTATAATCAGGTTAAAGTCTAGCCAGTTAACCCCGTGATGATCCAAACCCATTACCACTAAATTATACATAAAAATTGTGAATCAGTTTAATGCTGAGTTGATAACTTGTGTTTGAAATTGTCACCCTACAATCATTGCAACATATTTAGAATAAGATGTATTTGCATCATTTTATTCTATATCTGTGGGATTTCAACTTAGTTTTAACAACAAAATAATTCTTATTTCAACAGTGGTGATCATGACATGGTGGTTCCACATCTAGCCACAGAGAAATGGATACGTTCTCTAAATTTGTCAGTTCAAATTAGATGGGAGCCATGGTTTGTCGAAGGTCAAGTAGCAGGGTTAGTTCCTATAAGCTTTCCAAACCTCTTTGCAACATAAAGTTGAACAGCTTTAAGGTGTTACAAACTGCAAGTTCGTTCACACAAAATTGACATGATAATTTTTTCCATGCAGATATACAAAAGCTTATACACGTAATGACTACTCGTTAACGTATGCAACAATAAAGGCATGAATTCTCTGGCTTCATTTATATCTCAACTATTGAATCTAGGCCTATCAAATTGATCATTGATTAGCATTTTTGATTGATAACCCAAGTTCAAATATGAATCCCTTACATTCTATTTAACATATTCAAATTTGGACATATTAATATATGGTCCAATTATATTTATTGATAAGGGAATTTGATGAAATAGACTTGAAATTCATATACAAGTTGTTAAAATTCATCTTAATCGAGCTAAATCGAATAGGACAAGATTTTTGCTTTCAAATAGATTCGTATGTAAGCTAGAAAAGAAAATCCGTTAATATGCAAACGAGAATTTTCAAATTAAATTTTGAAGTTAATATTGTCTTCATAACCTGTGTAGGGAGCGGGTCACACAGGTCCGGAGTACAAACCTAAAGAATGTTTAGCAATGGTTGATCGATGGTTTGCAAAAAACCCTCTTTGAATGGACAATTGCTGCTTCAAACCAATTCAATCCTTCTACCTTATCTATGCATTGTTCCTTTCATTAGGTTGGATAGAATAATGTAATCATTGAAATATGTGTTCTGTTCCATTTTCAGTTTACACTGTGTCACTTTAATTCTTACAATTTTTTATTTGACTTTTAAAGCACCCATTGAGGATTATAGTTCAATTGTTGAAGGAATTGGGCACATATCTATCCATGAGATATACAAATGAGACCATTTAATCACTTTTATTGGATCATATAGAGTCATATCCAATGCCTATACATGAGCACTGCCATAAAATGCTGGAAAGGTGCATTATGTGACTAAATCCATTCGGTCTATACCCATCTATTAATAACTAAGTTCACTCCATTTTCTTCTCACCTGTTATACATTTTAACTCTAAATTATGTATGTGTTCCTCCCCCAAAGTTTCTTCTTCTTATCCTATCTCACACACATTTGTGTTGTCTAGTCATATATTTTAACTTTATTACTTTTATGTCTCTATTTTTATTTTTGTTATTATATTATTCAATGGTGTATAAATATTATCAATTGCATTTTGGTTTGGGATTTAATTTAAACGGGGTCAACTCGAATTTAACCCGAAATACTCCATATTTGGGCAGTGATTTTTAGTTCTCAAACATCTTATGCATTTGGTGTGCAGTACTATTTTTAAGCATGAATGGAATGAATCTTGGAATAAGTTTGGAAATGGAATGAAATAAGCATAACCTGTGAAAGAGGAAGAGAATTAAGTTGTATGAAATTGCACACCCATAAATGGGTGAACTGCTTGTATTTATAATTACAGAAAGAAGGAGTCATGATAAGAATGCATTACAAGAGTCATGATAAGAATGAATTACAAGAAAAGCTAGAACTCTATAACTGAAAGATAGAGTTGTAAATTGGTATAAGTCTGTTATAATTGATCTTCTATCATCCGTTTATGACTCCCCCGCAAACTATTGGTGGGAATCAACAAGAGTTTGGAGATATGCCAAAGAAACAAAGAGGCATGCAACCCTTTGGTGAAGATATCAGTCAATTGTTGATGTGAGCGAACAAACTTGACTTGAAGTGTTCCATTAACAACAAGATCACGGACAAAGTGATAGTCAATTTCAATATGTTTGGTCTGTGCACGGAGAACCGGATTGGCAGTCATGTGGACAGCACTGAGATTATCACAATTAATAACCATTGGTTGGGGAAGCAAATGGTGAAGATCCCGAAGCAAGTAAGAGAGTCATATCATTTCGGAACTTGTGATTGCCAAAGCCTTATACTCCGCCTCCGCACTAGAGCNAACATATTCAAATTTGGACATATTAATATATGGTCCAATTATATTTATTGATAAGGGAATTTGATGAAATAGACTTGAAATTCATATACAAGTTGTTAAAATTCATCTTAATCGAGCTAAATCGAATAGGACAAGATTTTTGCTTTCAAATAGATTCGTATGTAAGCTAGAAAAGAAAATCCGTTAATATGCAAACGAGAATTTTCAAATTAAATTTTGAAGTTAATATTGTCTTCATAACCTGTGTAGGGAGCGGGTCACACAGGTCCGGAGTACAAACCTAAAGAATGTTTAGCAATGGTTGATCGATGGTTTGCAAAAAACCCTCTTTGAATGGACAATTGCTGCTTCAAACCAATTCAATCCTTCTACCTTATCTATGCATTGTTCCTTTCATTAGGTTGGATAGAATAATGTAATCATTGAAATATGTGTTCTGTTCCATTTTCAGTTTACACTGTGTCACTTTAATTCTTACAATTTTTTATTTGACTTTTAAAGCACCCATTGAGGATTATAGTTCAATTGTTGAAGGAATTGGGCACATATCTATCCATGAGATATACAAATGAGACCATTTAATCACTTTTATTGGATCATATAGAGTCATATCCAATGCCTATACATGAGCACTGCCATAAAATGCTGGAAAGGTGCATTATGTGACTAAATCCATTCGGTCTATACCCATCTATTAATAACTAAGTTCACTCCATTTTCTTCTCACCTGTTATACATTTTAACTCTAAATTATGTATGTGTTCCTCCCCCAAAGTTTCTTCTTCTTATCCTATCTCACACACATTTGTGTTGTCTAGTCATATATTTTAACTTTATTACTTTTATGTCTCTATTTTTATTTTTGTTATTATATTATTCAATGGTGTATAAATATTATCAATTGCATTTTGGTTTGGGATTTAATTTAAACGGGGTCAACTCGAATTTAACCCGAAATACTCCATATTTGGGCAGTGATTTTTAGTTCTCAAACATCTTATGCATTTGGTGTGCAGTACTATTTTTAAGCATGAATGGAATGAATCTTGGAATAAGTTTGGAAATGGAATGAAATAAGCATAACCTGTGAAAGAGGAAGAGAATTAAGTTGTATGAAATTGCACACCCATAAATGGGTGAACTGCTTGTATTTATAATTACAGAAAGAAGGAGTCATGATAAGAATGCATTACAAGAGTCATGATAAGAATGAATTACAAGAAAAGCTAGAACTCTATAACTGAAAGATAGAGTTGTAAATTGGTATAAGTCTGTTATAATTGATCTTCTATCATCCGTTTATGACTCCCCCGCAAACTATTGGTGGGAATCAACAAGAGTTTGGAGATATGCCAAAGAAACAAAGAGGCATGCAACCCTTTGGTGAAGATATCAGTCAATTGTTGATGTGAGCGAACAAACTTGACTTGAAGTGTTCCATTAACAACAAGATCACGGACAAAGTGATAGTCAATTTCAATATGTTTGGTCTGTGCACGGAGAACCGGATTGGCAGTCATGTGGACAGCACTGAGATTATCACAATTAATAACCATTGGTTGGGGAAGCAAATGGTGAAGATCCCGAAGCAAGTAAGAGAGTCATATCATTTCGGAACTTGTGATTGCCAAAGCCTTATACTCCGCCTCCGCACTAGAGCGAGACATCGTGGGTTACTTTTTGGAACACCATGACACAAGATTAGATCCCAAGAAAATACAAAACCCGTGGTAGAACGGCGAGTATTAGGACAACCAGCCCAATCCACAGCAGTAAAAGCAGTGAGAGATGTTAAAAGGCCTGGACGAATAACAAGACCAAACCCAAGGGTTCCTTTGATGTATCGCAAAATGCGTTTAACAGCTTGGAGATGATCAGTGGTTGGGGATTGTAGAAATTGACACACTTGATTTACTGCGTAACAGAGATCAGGACGAGTGAGAGTAAAATATTGAAGAGAACCAACAAGATGAAGATATTCACGGGGGTCAAACAAGGGTGAGCCATCAGTGAGGAACATCTTAGAGCTGGAGGCATTGGGTGTATGACAAGGCTTACAATCGAGCATGCCAGCATATTTTAACAAATCTAATGTATATTTATTTTGAGTGAGTGTAAGACCAAATGGCGTTCTAACAGCCTCAATGCCCTAGAAGAAGTGAAGCTCCCCCAAATCCTTCATAGCAAATTCACGGCCAAGAGGGTGAGAAAGGAGTTAAGAAAAATGGGGTTATCACTGGTCAAAATTATGTTGTCGACATAGAGAAGAAGGATGAGAGTGGCCTGTTTGGAACGGTGAACAAACATTGAAGTGTCAGCCCGACTGCATAACAAACCAACTTGAAGAAGAAAGTTGCTAAATCGTTGAAACCACGCCCTAGGAGCTTGATGAAGACCATAAAGAGCTTTATGTAAGCGACAAACATGAGATGGATAAGAGGAGTTTATAAAGCCAGGTGGTTGTTGCATATACACCTCTTCGTCAAGAATTCCATGAAGAAAGGCATTGTGAACATCAAGTTGTCGAATAGGCCACTGGATGGAGATAGCCAAGCTGAGAACTATACGTATAGTGGCAGGTTTGACAACGGGACTGAAGGTATTGGTAAAATCAATCCCAGGTTGTTGTGTGAAGCCTTTAGCAACCAAACG